TAGACAAAATGATCAATGGCAAATAAGAAAGGGTACAGAAGGCGATTCACACATAAAAGGTTCCCTGATTTATGACAAAGGCAACACTACAGTTCAGTGGGGGAAAAAATGATCTGCTCAGTGATGGTGCCAGGTCAACTGGACATCCATATGGGGAAAAAAAAAAAAAGTTGATCTTCACTTGTTACCATACAAAAATCAGCACCAGATGGATGACAGATCTAAATGGGAAAAGGTCAAATAAAGCTTTTAAAGAAAATATCTTTGTGACCTTAGAACAGGCAAATTTTTTTTAACAGCACTAATCATAAAAGAATAAGGTTTAATTGGATTATAATAAAGAGCTTCTGTTCATTGAAAGACACGACTAAAAGTGTGCAGAAGCCACAAATAGCCCAAGGTAAGATATATGAGGTATATACAGTCGTCTCTTTATTCATGGGGAATTGGTCACAGGACTAGGGCAAATACCCAGTCCACGGATGCTCAAGTCCCTTATATAAAATGGCATAATATATGCATATAACATACACACATTCTCCCACATATTTTAAGTCAGCTGTAGATTATTTGTAATACCTAATACAATGTGAACGCTATATAGTTGTTATCCTGTAAAGTTTTTTATTTGTATTATTTTTTGAATATTTTTGAGTATTTATTTATTTAGAGATATGGTCTCACTCTGTCACCCAGGCTGGAAATGTAGCTCACTGCAGCCTCAAATTCCTGGGCTCAAGCAATCTTCTGTCTCAGGCTCTGGAGTAGCTGGCATTACAGGCATGCATCACCACATCTGGTTAATTTTTTTCTTTTTTTTTTTTTTAAGATGCAGGGTCTTGTTAATGTTGGCCAGGCTGGTCTCAAACTCCTGGCTTCAAGCAATACTACCGCCTTAGCCTCCCGAAGTGCTGGGATTATAGGAATGAGCCACCTTACTGGGCCTGAGTATTCCTTTTTTTTTTGAGATGGAGTCTCACTCTGTCACCCAGAGCAATGTCCGCCTCCTGGGTTCAAGCGATTCTCATGCCTCAGCCTCTAAAGTAGCTGGGACTACAGGTGCATGCCACTATCAGCTAGTTTTTGTATTTTTTAGTAGAGACGGGGTTTCGCCATGTTGGCCAGGCTGGTTTCGAACTCCTAGTCTCAAGTGATCCTCCTGGCTCAGTTTTCCAAAGTGCTAGGATTACAGGCGTGAGCCACGGTTGGTCCAATCTGCAGATGTGGAACTCTCAGATAAGGAGGGCCAACTGCGTCTCTAACAAAGGGCTTGTATCCAGTGTAGGTAAAGAATTCCTTCAAATCAGTAAGAAAAAGAGACAACCCAATAGAAAAAAATGCAAGAAATTTGATGTGGCTTCACAAAATGGATATACAATTGGCTAAAAAACACATTAAAAATCTTAATATCTTTATCAAGGAAATACAAACTAAAAACTTCAAGGAGATACCAAGACATAAACACTAGAATCACAAAAAGAAAAACACTAAAATTAGCAAGTGTTGATGAGAATGTGGGGCAAAGGGACCTCTCATACCTTCCTGGCTGGAGAATAAACTGGTATAACCACTTTGGAATAAAGTTTGGCAATATCTACAGAAATATTTATGTATTTGCTATGACCCAGAAATTCCATATCTACATACATATCCACCAGAAATATGTTTAACCAAACACATATGAAAAGGTTCACAGTAGCACTAGTTTAAACCTGGGAACTACTCAATGACCATCAACAGAAGAATGAATTTAAAAATGATCATATATTCACATGGAATGCTATGCAGAAATAAAAATTCTCATGTTAATAATATGGACGAATCTCACAAAGCCAGAGAGGAAAAAAAAAGTCAGAAATAAGAGAGTATATAAATAGAAATGTACAGTGTCTAAACAATAAAAATAGACAAAATTAATCTAGGTTATTACGTTTAAGGAGTGGTCATTTTGGGGTAGGGAATAGTGATGGAAAAGGACCAGGAGGGAGCTTCTGGTGTGCCGGTGATGTTGTTTCTTTTTCATTTTTTATTTTTTGGGGGCAGAGTCTGGCTCTGTCATCCAGGTTGGAGTGCAGTGGTGCGATCATGGCTCACTGCAGCCTTAACCTACCCAGGCTCAAGTGATTCTCCCACCTCAGCCTCCCCAGTAGCTGGGACTACAGGCACGTTCCACCACGCCCAGACAATTTTTGTATTTTTTGTAGAGATCAGGTTTCGCCATGCTGTCAGGCTAGTCTCAAACTGCTGGGTCGAGGGATCCATCTGCCTCAGCCTCCCAAAGTGCTGAGATGACAGGTGTGAGCCACCATGCCCGACCTGTCCTGTTTCTTGATCTGGGTGCTGGTTACATGGGTGTGCTCAACATGTGAAAATATAACCATCCGCACACTTGTGATTTGTGCCCTGTCCTTCTATAAATTATACTGCAATAAAAATTGTGTATAACAAAAAGAAAACAAACAGCAAACTGGAAATTTTTCTGCAAGTATGATAAAGGCTTAGTAATATATGAAGAACTCACGCAGGTCAGTTTTTTAAAAGCTAGCAGCTAATAAGAAAATGAGCAACAAATATGAAGAGAAATGTTCAAAGAAATAAAAATGGCTAATGTACAAATGCACAAAATGTAAATTAAAACAATGGAATGTTATTTTTGCCTACCAAATTAGCAAAGATTAAAAGAAACTGTTAAGGCTGTTGTTGAGGATTTGGTGAAACCAATACTCTCTTATTTTTAATGGAAACCTGAATTGGTATAACCTATCTGTGTAAGTCTTAAATGTTCATATTCTTTGACCCACTAGTTCTACTTCTAAATATTATTCTGAAGAAAATCAGAGTTGTAGTTAAAGATGGGCTTATATCACGGCTGATTACAATGGTATTTTGAAAAATAAAGGTTATATTATGATACACATGAGGGGATATTAATGTTTTCAAAGAATGATGAATGGGAAAAGATTCATGATAAAGTGAAAAATATATACAAAATTCTATGTGGTATACCTTTTGTTCTAAAAAATATCACACACATATTGTGTCTTAATATAGAGGCTAAAACATTACACACACATAAACACACATTTACATACAAATAAAGTCTATGAGAACACATACCATATTGTTAATAGTGACCATCTTTGGGTGGTGGGATAATGGGTGATTTTAACTTGGGGGTTTATTTTCTATAATAAAATGTTCCTTGAGCATATATTACTATTACATTCAGAAGTCAAAAATAATGTATTAAAAAAATACATCCATCAGTTACCCTTACTCTAGAAATCTATTTCTCTCTCCTTCAGCTACCACATTAATCTATAAACATTGAATCGATTTTAACTAACAAGTGTCTGTCCAAGCCATTATTCCATTACGTCTCTCATTTCCAAAATTCAGGCCCTTGTCTTCCCTAATGAACGCCTCATATCTAGACTCTTCATTTCGGTAAAATGGCCACATTTTCCATTGCTTCTAAATTCCAGCCACATCAAGCCACTTTACATAGCCACCCTCCACACCCCGCCCCCTAAAAATGCACGCCAGGTACTTTCACACTTCCCAAGCCTGGCATACTCAGTTCTCTTTCCCTGTAATACATTTTCCCCTGTCGGTTTTTCTAATCCAATTCATAGTTAAAGATTCACCTCAGATATCGCGTACTGGGTGTAGCCTCTGGGAGGCCGCAAGAACAGAAACTAATCCTTCAATGACGGTTTGTACATATTTCAACATTTAACATTCTGTCCTGTCTGTGCCTCGCTCTCTCACTGTATGGCATGGGTCACTCCATTTTTAAATTTTCTTAAAATCTAGTTGGATGAATGAAAGTAAAGCGTACACATGCAATACACGTATATACAGGGGTGCGAGTTTTGACCTGTGTCTGATAGAAAAAATGGCATCAAAAACACTCGCCCGATTTTTTTCATTCAAGATGGCAGAGAACGTCTTAAAATAGTCCCACACAAAAGCACTCACATCTAGAGCCTCGAGTCAGAAGAACTGGCTACACCTAGCGCAACAGCAAAGGACAAAAGAATCGAATCTAGATGCTGAGACGCCCTGGCCCCAACCACCGACAGTAGGTCCCACATAAAGACTTTAAACCTTGTTAGAAAACCGGCACCTGCTGCCTTCATTCCGACAGCCACGCCTTGACGGTGAACAGTGACCCGAAGCATTTCCAGATACTGACCCAAAAAAATCGCGGATGGAAAAGGAGGAGGCTAAGTTGTGACTATCTAAAACGCACCATTCGGCCCCGCCCCAGCCGGGCGCAGTCTCCGCGCGGCACATCCATTCCTAGGAAGGAAGAGACACTGCTCCAGCCCAGGGCCTGGCAACCGGGCACCGTCTGGGAATTCTGGGCGGGCCTGAGATACAGGCCGGCCACGGACAGGGCGCCTCTGGCTACACCTGTCAGGCGACGACGGACACTAGGCCCTGAAATCGCTGGGGTTCGGTAGTCGAGGCCAGCTGGAGCGCGTCACCCGATCCCTAGCCTTGCCTCCTCGCTTTCCGTCTCGTCCTTCTCAAACAAAGGCAATCCACACCCACCGCCATTTTCCCCTTACCTCAAAAACCACCTCTTCGTCAAACTCCGGTGTCATCCTTCTCCGCCATGCCACCCGCCTCAGCACGATGGGAAATGAAGGCGGGAGAACGCGCGGCACGGAGCTCCAGCTCCTGCTCGTCTCGTGGGTTTAGAAAACTACAATTCCCAACATGCCTCGCCGCCGACGCCCACTTTTCAAGCCCGCTTATTGGAGAAGAGCGTGAGCGTGTGCGCGAGAGAGGCGGGAGCGAGCGGAATCTCGAGCCTTCCGATTGGAGAAGACTAGGGCTTTTGTCTGCCTTTTACGGCCGCGACTAGCAGGGGGCGCCCGCAGCACTGCTGATTTTTGGAGCCCGAGAAGGGCACGCGCCAGTGGAGACGAAGTGAGCACTGCTCGTGCCCGCGCCTGGCCGTCCGCCTGGAGCTCTACGGGGCGGCGCTCGTGCTCGCCCGCCCGCCCCCGGCGGCTCGCGCCCGGGAGCGCTGCAGGGTCGCTGGAGCCGGCCGCGTCCTTTGTGTGGCGCTCAGGCTGCGCCGCGGGGCGGCGGGACGGAATGTGGGCGCTGTGGGGGCTTTTCTCTTCTGCCCAAACTGTGGAAACAATGGACTGAAAGGGGAACATGGATTGAGGGGCCGAGCGGGGAAGCGAGCTGCACCGGGGAATCATGACTTCAGCAGCCGGTAAGTGAAGGCGCTCGCGCTGCCGCTGGAAAGTTTGTGGCGAGCGCTGCTAGGCTTGGGCTCGCGAGCAACTTTCTCCGCCGGGATGGGCGAGTTGTGTGTCCCGTACCTTTGCCGAGCACCTCGGCAAGCTCGGAGCTAATGGGGTTCGCTCCCGGATTTCTCGTCTTTTCCTGCCCAGAGGTGGTGTTTGGAAACTCGGGATTTCTCGGGACCTCCCTTCCAAGGGGGATTCTGCTGGGGGCTCTGCACCAGGTGAAACGCGATGTGTGAAGGGCGTTCGCTCATCTCTCCAGCAGCGCGCGGACTTCGCCTTTGCATGTGAAAATAGTGTAGATTCCCAACTTAATAAATCAGTTATTATAGGCAAAGGCAGTGTTCTCAGTGTGTTCAATTTGGCCACTAAGTGAGTCGCTTTCAACCTTGTATCTGCTGGTAAACCTTTTACCCATTTTAAAGAGGCGTAGACATTGTCATCTCCTGGTGATTTTACCTCTGTTACCTGAGAAGCAGAGGAGTTGAGATTGTTGAGTTTTGTTTTTTTGTTGTTTGTTTGTTTGCTTGTCTGCACCGAATTACAGATACTTTGTTTGTTTCTACCTGATTAGGGTAAACAAAGCTTTATTTTCTGTCTGCCTCCCATAGTTCTTTCCCCTTGATCAAAATGACAAAGCCTCTATCTTTGTGTGGATTTTCAGCAATTCTAGACGTTGTGTTTCTGAACATGCTTAAGGAACAATTTCTGTTTTACAAAATAATTACCAAAGTGGTGTTACGATCACTTTATAAGTACATAGGTTAATTTTTAAACCAGAACTTATGTATTAAGTAGAGTGTTATGGATTCTTTTACGTTTTTGTCCACGTTGAAACAAACTTTCGTTAGAAATTTTATAGTGAAATAGTTTAAGCTTCCTCTCAAAGTTACTTCTAGAATCAGCACTTAAGTATCAGATTAAATTTTCATTGCTTTTCTTGGCCTTTGTTTAAAATTCTTGCAACTTGAAACTGTCAAACAGCACTCAAATGTTCTGATTTTACATTTCTAAAGCCTAGATATATTGTAGTATTGCATTGCTCCGTGTGCTCAGATTACAACAAACGAAACAAGAAGTTAGCCAATAGGAGAAGAAAGCAAGAAGTAGGTGTTGGGTAGGTCTTTCCTTTTTGATGTTATATGCATATATATGAGATATCTTTATAAACTCTCTTTTCTTTACCAAAGGGAGGCTTTATACTTACATAAGGTAAATTATTTTCATCCTAAATTTCTGTGCCTTACCTTCGTTCAAGAAATTGATTTAAATTAAAAGTAGTTGGAAATTTTAAAATCCTTCCAGCCAGTTTTAGTTCTTTCCTTTTTGGAGGTGTCAAATGTATTTAAAATAACCGTATCTTATATGTATCAGTTTTCAGTTCCAGTCTTAACAGTTTATAAGGAACAGGCACAGAAGCATGTAATTTGACATTTATATAAACCCGATTTCCAGGGCCCAGACTGGAAGTTCATGATTCTTGCATTTGAATTATCCTAAAATAATGCAAGCTATTTTTGTATTTTATCAACTTTACAATTAAATAAATCCACAGAAATTTTTGTGGTGTTTAAAGTGGGACACTTCCTGTGTCTAGCAGAGTTGGTTGGTTTTTAGCATGGCTGGCTGAGAAGCATCAACTACTTTTTTGCTCACCCATCTGTTGGATTTATTATAATTCTTTCTGGTGTCTAGATGGGGAATATGGAAGAGAACTGGGGTTTTATTTCTACCCATTCTTATATGTATACATAGTTCTTACAAGCTGATTATGGTGCTTTTTGGGAACAATAGTCAAATTCATTGAAACGTTTAGGAAGGTTATTTGAAGTTAAGGGAGGGGATTTTTGTTTTTGAATCTAATCTGTGGTATTTGGAAGGGTTGGTCTAAGAAAATAAAAGGAATGTTGTAGAACATCTAGGTTATATATATCCAGCAGAAAAGCTTGCTTTGTTTTTCTGCATCTATAAAAGAATCTGCCCTTGGTGGATATTTCAGAATTATTTTAAGCTGTATATGAAAAAGGAGAGGCTGGGTGTGGTGGCTCACGCCTGTAATCCCATCACTTTGGGAGGCCAAGGCGGGCAGATCACTTGAGGTCAGGAGTTTGAGACCAGACTGGCCAACGTGACAAAACCGTGTCTCTACTAAAAATACAAAAATTAGCCAGGTGTGGTGGGATGCGCCTGTAGTCCCAGCTACTCGGGAGGCTGAGATGAAAATTGCTTGAGTCCGGGAGGCAGAGGTTGTGGTGAGCAGAGATCGAGCCACTGCACTCTAGCCTGGGTGATAGAGCAAGACTCTGTCTCAAAAAAAATAAAGAAAAAGGGAGAGAGAATTATAGGTATATATAGGTATATATTTTGTGTCCTTTTGAACATGTACAGGTCACTATCTCATTGTCTGTGCTTTGCATTTTGGCTGGTCCAGTAGCCAGAGAGTGTACACGTGAACCACAGCCATCTGTGTGTAACAGATGACGAATATGTTTGTAATAGTTAGTAAAATGGTACTAGTGCTTTACTTTCTTACCTTATATTTCCCTGGAGCCAAACAGCTGTGTAAATAAAAGATTTGCTGCTTTGCTCTAAGAAGCTTTGGGTCTGACTGTTGATACAGTATTAAGATCCAAAGGTGCTGGATTTGTTGCCAAACGTCATGAACTTACTTCAAGAGTTTGACTTTGGAGCAGACCATAATATAATGGCTTATTATTTTTTGAGTTGTGTTTCTTCCAAAATAGAGCCATGAAAAAAAAATAATGAAGCATTTTGGATATTGCTATACCAGTGACTTAGTTGAACACTTGTTGCCATTAATAATTAAAGAATTATTCCATAATCCTGTTGAAATTGATTCCTGCTAACTTTTCAAAATATTATTCTACATTAAAATGGATGTATGTTTTTGAATGTGATTATTTTTAGAGAAGAAATTTTCTGTTATGGAGACATATTAAAGAGTATGTATATGTGGCAGCTGTGATTATTCCCAGGCCCTGTTGTTAGCACTGGGATACCTCAGTGAATGAGACAAAGTGCCTGCCCTTCTGGAGCTTGCGTCTTATGCTGAACACAGACAAAGGTGCACTGAAAAAACATCAACGCAGGAGAAAGAGGCCATAGTACATAAAGTTCTCCTGATATGAGCATTTCAGAAGTTATCATCTCAGCTTCCTATGGGCTTTAGAGGCCTGTTCAACTCCCCCATTTATAAGGAAGGAAAGTGAGGCAGCCAGGTCTGCACAAGGCCCACAGTTAGGTTAGCCAGCTCCCTGAGTTATGTCTTTGACTTCCTTCAATACACAGTTAACTAACAGTGGCAAGCCCAAGTTCACAGTTATTAATTGAATTCAGTGAGTAGGCGTTGAGGGCTTTATGTACATGATAGGGCTTTGCTATATTTATTGGGAATCAACTCCAGCTCATACGTAGTTAATTGAATTTCTGTGACACTAGAACAGGAATTTATATCTCTTGGAAGCAGATTTGTGTACAAAGCACATTTTTTAAAAAGAGTAAAATTGGTGCCAGAGATTTTTATAAAATGATACTTAAATGACCCTGAAGTTTCTGACAAGGTTCTAAGATTTAGAAAGTAAAAGATTAATTTGATGAGATGAAGTTTTCTTCCAACTGTGGTAAAATAGCACATAAGATAAATTTACCATCTCACTCATTTTTAAATGTATAGTTCAGAAGTGTTAAGTACATTCACATTGTACAGCCAATCTCAAGAACTCTTTATTTTACAAAACTATTTTTTTGTTTTTCTATGGAGACGGGGTCTTACTGTGTTGCCCAGGCTGGTCTCCAATTCCTGAGCTCAAGCAATCCTCCCACCTTGGCCTCCTAAGGTGCTGGGATTACAGGCATGAGCCACTGTGCCAGGCTGTCAAAACTAATTTTTAAAAAATTCTTTTAAAAATCCAGAGGTAGGATGTTTTGATAATGGTTACAGAAATGAAATCAACTTGACAATCTGTCAGTTTTTATTGAGTAAGATGGGCAGTTGGGAAGAGACCTAAGGCATTCATATTTTCTTTTAAGACTTGACTTAATAAATGGAGGGTTTAATTTAATAGACATTTACAGCTAGGTTTCTCACTAGGATTTGAAGGGTTTTTCAGTTATTTTCTGCCTAAAAAAAACCTCAGACAAAATTAACTATGCTTATTGAACGGTTAACTGAAATTATGTAATATAGGAATTTGTATTATTTTGAAAATAATTCTTTTTTTTATTGATGATGACATTATACCTAGAAATTGAGTGAGCAGACATGTATCATCATATAATCTTTATTGCACACACGGAAGTAGAGATTTAGGGAATTCTTCTTTGGTTGGTAAAAGGAAGTAGAGCACCCTACTCCTCTTTTTTTTTTTTTTTTTTTTTTTGAGACGGAGTCTTGCTCTGTCGCCCAGGCTGGAGTGCAGTGGCGCGATCTCAGCTCACTGCAAGCTCCACCTCCTGGGTTTACGCCATTCTCCTGCCTCAGCCTCCCGAGTAGCTGGGACTACAGGCGCCCGCCACCTCGCCCGGCTAGTTTTTTGTATTTTTTAGTAGAGACGGAGTTTCACCGTGTTGGCCAGGATGGTCTCGATCTTCTGACCTCGTGATCCGTCCGTCTCGGCCTCCCAAAGTACTCCTCTTTTTTTAAAAAAACTCAGTTCCGTGTAATAGCTTCCCAAGTGTTGTGACTAATTTCCTTTGTTCAAAAGGAAATCATCACCAAATGAAATATCAGAGCTCCTGTCTAGTCAAGTAATTAAACAATGTCCAGCAGTCCTTTGCAGCAGATATTTTGAAAAGTTTTTTCAGTAAATTAAAGTTTTATTAAGTGTTAGATCCTGTCAAAGGAACAAATATAAACGTAAAAGATAAAATATTTTTTATCTCATGTCTCCTTGGGGAAATATGGTCAATAATATGACAATGAAGGTGGAAGAACGTAAAGGAACTTACAGATATACAGGCTTTATTTATCTTTTCACTTTATAGGTCTTTTGTGTAAAGCTTTTATTAAGTTCCTATAGTATAGGAGCAGATCTGTACCGATGCAGCATTGTATAATAGGTGTTAGTTTAAAACCTTATATATAATGTTGAGGAAGAATTGCTAGACTAGAAATTGTGGTTATCTTTTAAATGTACTAGAACAGTGGATGTTAATGAGGAATAAACAACATAATCACCTGTGGAACTTAAAAGATATACAGATGTCCCTAAAAACTCTAACTGGTTCACTCTGGGGTAGGGCCTAGACATGTGACTTTTTAAAGAATAGAGCTCTGTGAAGGAATATAATGAAAATTCTCAGCCAATTACTCTTGCAGAAAGAAATACCAGGTTTATTATGTGCCTTAAATAATACCAAATAATTAATTTTCTGTTTTTAAGTTTAGAAAAATTCTGATTTCTGTCTTCCTTTTTAAAGATTGTTTTGGGGTTCTATCTATTGAGGTGGACAGATCATTGATAAAAGGCATTTATGCAACTCAATTATATTATCCTTGAGATAGAAGACTACTACTGCTTATTCACATGAGAATTTTAAAGAGTTGCATCCTACATTTAACTGAGGCAAATTCAACTTTCAGCACTTGGCAAATGAATTGAAGAACTACTATGTGGGTCCCAAACTGAAGTCAATTATTTCGTTTATTGTCAATGAAAGATATGATGGGCTGGGCACCAGTAACTCATGCCTATGATCCCAGCACTTTGGGAGGCCGAGTGGGTGGATCACGAGGTCAGGAGTTCGAGACCAGCCTGATCAACATGGTGAAACCCTGTCTCTACTAAAAATACAAAACTTAGCCGGATGTGGTGGTGCACACTTGTAATCCCAGCCACTCAGGAGGCTGAGGCAGGAGAATCACTTGAACACGGGAGGCAGAGGTTGCAGTGAACCGAGATCGCGCCCCTGCTCTCCAGCCTGGGCAACAGAGTGCCAGACTCCATCAAAAAAAAAAAAAAGAAGAGAAAAAAAAGAAAGATATGGAAACCAGTTCCAAAGTTGGAGAAACAAACCATATTGGATTTATTTAAAAATGTACAATAGACCCAAAGCTATGTATGGAATTGAAGGACAATTTAAGGAATTTTCAGGAGTAATATTGATACTATATAGCGTAATATACTCAGTAAAAGGCAAGGTCATATTGGTAAAAGTAAAAAATGCTATCAAATTTAATCATGTATCATTTTGTGCTTTGGTTGTTTTGACATCAAATTATTATTTTTTCCTTTCTAGAGATGAAGAAGCCACCAGTGGCCCCCAAGCCCAAGTTTATTGTGGCAAATAATAAGCCAACTCCACCTCCTATTGCACCTAAACCCGACATTGTGATTTCTAGTGTTCCACAGTCAACAAAGAAAATGAAACCAGCAATAGCCCCAAAACCAAAAGTCCTGAAGAGCTCACCTGTTCGAGACATTGGGCAATCGCCATCAAGGAAAATCATGTTGAACCTGGAAGGGCATAAACAGGAATTAGCTGAAAGCACTGACAACTTTAATTGTAAATATGAAGGCGATCAGAGCAGTGATTTTATTTCACCAATGTGTTCCTGCAGTTCTGAGTGTATCCATAAGATGGGCCATAGAGAGAATTTGTGTGTAAAGCAGCTTGTTTTAGAGCCCCTGGAAATGAATGAAAATTTAGAAAATAGTAAAATTGATGAGACTTTGACTATACAAACTAGGAGTAAATGTGATTTGTATGGCGAAAAAGCCAAGAACCAGGGTGGGGTTGTTTTAAAGGCAAGCATTTTAGAAGAGAAGCTCAAAGATGCCTTAATACACCGAATGCCACCTTTTATTTCTGCACAGAAGCACAGGTCCACAGACAGCCCAGAAATGAATGGTGGCTGTAATTCAGATGGACAATTCAGAATTGAGTTTACAGATTTGTCACCTTCCCCATCCAGCTTTGAAAAAGTTCCTGATCATCACAGTTGCCACTTACAGCTTCCTAGTGATGAATGTGAAAATTTTGAAACTTGCCAGGATGACAGTGAAAAAAGCAATAATTGCTTTCAGTCATCTGAACTAGAGGCTCTGGAAAATGGGAAAAGGAGTACTTTTATATCTTCAGATGAAGTTAGTAAGAAATCAATAGTCAAAGACCTTGGTCCCTTAGAAATTCATTTACTACCATATACCCCAAAATTTCCAACTCCCAAGCCCAGAAAGACACGAACTGCACGTCTGTTACGCCAGAAGTGTGTAGATACTCCTAGTGAAAGCACCGAAGAACCAGGGAATTCAGACAGTAGCTCTTCCTGTCTCACTGAAAATAGTTTGAAAATGAATAAAATCAGTGTTCTTCATCAGAATGTTTTGTGTAAGCAGGAGCAGGTGGATACAGTGAAGCTGGGAAATAAAAGTGAATTGAATATGGAATCCAACAGTGACGCACAGGACTTAGTCAATTCACAGAAAGTCATGTGTCATGAAACATCTTCCTTTGAAAAGATGGCACCTTCTTTTGATACAGACTCTAATTTGAGTTCTGACAGCACAACTGTAGATGGTTCTAGTATGTCGCTTGCTGTGGACGAAGGGACTGGTTTTATAAGATGTAGTACTTTATCTATGAGCCTGCCTAAGCAGCTCAAATTAACTTGCAATGAACATTTGCAATCTGAGAGAAACCTGGGAGTTTCTGCCCCTCAGATGCAAAAGGAATCTGTTATAAAAGAGGAAAATTCCCTACGAATTGTCCCCAAAAAACCTCAAAGACACAGCTTGCCTGCTACAGGAGTGCTTAAAAAGGCTGCCTCCGAGGAGCTTGTGGAAAAAAGTTCTTATCCTTCAAGTGAAGAAAAATGTTCAGAGAAGGGCCTAGAAAGAAATCACCTTCAGCATTTGTGTGCCCAAAACCGTGGTGTGTCATCCTCCTCTGATATGCCTAAACGGGCTTCAGAAAAGCCAGTATGGAAGTTACCTCATCCTATTTTACCCTTTTCAGGGAACCCAGAATCCTTAAAGTCTGTCACCTTATCGTCAAACAGTGAGCCTTCAACAGCCCTAACCAAGCCTAGAGCAAAATCGTTATCTGCTGTGGATGTGGAAAAGTGCACTAAGCCTTGCAAAGACTCTACAAAGAAAAACTCTTTTAAAAAGTTGCTCAACATGAAACTGTCCATCTGTTTCATGAAGAGTGACTTTCAAAAATTTTGGTCCAAGAGTAGCCAACTTGGAGATACCACCACAGGCCACCTCTCCAGTGGGGAGCAGAAGGGGATTGAAAGTGATTGGCAAGGCTTGTTGGTAGGAGAGGAGAAGAGAAGTAAGCCCATCAAGGCATATTCCACAGAAAACTATAGCCTGGAATCTCAAAAGAAGAGGAAGAAGTCCCGGGGCCAGACCAGTGCAGCTAATGGTCTGAGAGCTGAGTCTTTGGATGACCAAATGCTCTCCCGGGAGTCATCATCTCAGGCACCTTACAAGTCTGTTACAAGCCTCTGTGCACCGGAGTATGAAAATATACGCCATTATGAGGAAATACCAGAGTATGAGAACTTACCGTTTATTATGGCTATACAGAAAACTCGAGAGTTGGAATGGCAGAATTCCAGCAGCGTGGAGGACACAGATGCAAATGTGTATGAGGTAGAAGAGCCGTATGAAGCTCCAGATGGCCAGCTGCAACTTGGACCTAGACATCAGCATTCCAGGTAACAGGTGCCAGACAGACACTTTTGCATGCATCATTGCAATTAACCTTCAACAGCCTGGTGAGTTAGATATGCAGGGGGAAAAAAACACGTGATTGAAGGAATAGTTTAGAAAATGTATATTAAATTATTCTCAAGTGCAGCCTCCTTTTAGCATACAGTTGGAATGGATATTTGCAAATACAAGTTTGAAGTAGTTAATTTATTTTAGTAGCCGATTCAAAGAATTTGAACCAGTGGCAATGTAGGTGCTACAAGGAAGGCGTGGAACAGAGAGGTCCTGGGCCTCCAGGCACCAGCTCAGAAGTCATAGCAGGAAACCTGGGGCAGGAAATTGGCCAATTCAATGACATTTATTTGCTAGGTGTAAGAAATCTGAAGTTACTGAAATATGCAGGCATTTACATGTGGTGCCCTTATCGGGTGAAACCTCCAAATTTTTAGAAGTTCACCACTTTTTGAAGATTGGTCGTTTTACCTGTTGATGCCTAATTGGTGACCTCCAGTGGATATAGGAAAAATGCAGGAAACACGTAACTACTCTTTATTTCTCACTTTTAAAATAATTTAATTTAATTATTATTATTATTTTTTGAGATGGGGTTTTACTCTGTCACCCAAGCTGGAATGCAGTGGTGTATGATCATGGCTCACTGCAGCCTCGACCCCCCGTGCTCGAGCAGTCCTCCCATCTCAGCCTCCTTGAGTAGCTGGAACTATAGGTGCATGCCACCATGCCTGAATAATTTTTGTGTTTTTTGTAGAGACAACGTTTTGCCATCATGCCCAGACTGGTCTTGAACTCCTGGGGTCAAGCAGTGCTCCTGCCCTTGCCTCCCAAAGTGTTGGGATCACAGGCGTGAGTCACTGCACTGCACCTATTTCTCACTTTTGTATGTGCACTTCCTACCTGTGGAATACCTACTCCATCCCTCTTATTAAAATCGTGCCCATCCTTGATGATACAGCCCCTCAGTCTTTGGCTTCGTGAAGCTTCTACAATTACCTACTCAGAAGTGTTTACTTCCTATTGTGACCACCCAGTTATGTTGTGATATCCTTTCATCTCAGGCTGTCTTAGTGTATAACTATTTATCGGCATGCCTGATGTTCTGTATTTGGTTTTAAGCTCCATGAAGAGTTCTAGTCATCTCTTTGTCCTGGATAAAGCCAAGCAAGAGGCCTAGTAGAATCAGTAGATGTTGATTGGGTCTAAGGAGAATGAGTGAAAATAGGCCAAGGGAGCAACCACTGCAGCAGCTTCCTTCTCCCTTCTCTCTCCATAGTCGCATAGGGAGCTTTTCCATTGTATTTCTAATATTTGTGTTTAACAAAAAAGCACATGGACCCGTTTGGAAATCTCTAGATTATTCTTAGTCTGCTAACTTCAGGTCTTTGAAATTCAAGTCTTAAAATGTGACTTTGTAGAAAATACTTGACATATAGTGGGGGGTATTAGTGCGTTCTCACGCTGCTAATAAAAACATACCCAAGACTGGGTAATTTATAAAGGAAAGAGGTTTAATTGATTAACAGTTCAGCATGGCTGGGGAGGCCTCAGGAAACTTACAGTCATGGAGGAAAGGGGAGCAAACACGTGCTTCTTTACATGGGGACAGCAAGGAGAAGGGCAGAACGAAAGATTGAAAAGCCCCTTATAGAACCATCAGATCTTGTGAGAACTCACTCACCATCTCGAGAACAGCAGCCTGGGGGAACCGCCCCCATGATTCAGTTACCTCCCACTGAGTCCTTCCCATGACACATAGGGATTATGGGGACTACAATTCAAGATGAAATTTGGATGGGGACACAGCCAAAGCATATCATGGAGGCTCAAAAAAAAAAAAAAAAAAAAAAAAAAAACATTGTTGGGTGAATTGAATAAGTAAAATTGTCGAGCAAGTCAGCATACCAAGTAAAGTAAATTATTTTAAGTTCCTTTAACTGTCAGATATTCTCATAGCATTTTTCTTTACTCGTAGTCAGTCTTTCCTGCCCTTCCTCCTTTTGCATGAAAAAGGCTACTTTCCTCCCCTGCCTAATTTTTCTCACAGCCAGCTGCATTCTGTTTTCATATTTCTGCTTCCTAAATATTAGTACCTAGGCAAAAAACTCCTTCCTTGACATAAATACTTATTTTTCATTTTTTTTTTTTCTCTTTGGAGAGAGGGTCCCACTCTGTCTCCCAGGGTGGCGAACAGTGGTACAGTCAAAGCTTACTGCAGCCTGGAACTCCTGGGCTCAAGTAATACCCAACCCCCTTCAGCCTCCCAAGTAGCTGGGACCACAGGTGCATACCACCACACCCAGCTAATTTTTATTTTTTATTTTTTGTAGAGCTAAGATCTCCCTGTATTGCCCAGGCTGGTCTCGAACTCCTGTGCTCAAGTAATCCTCCCATCCCAGCCTCCCAAAGTGCTGGGATTACAGGCATGAGCCACCATTCCTGGTTCTTGGCATAAATATTTCAAATTGTCTGTTTTCAGAATTGCTTTTCTCTGTAGAACCATTTTATTGGTAGTATCCTTTTTTTTAAAAACATGCTTTTCCATATTTGTTTTGTGTGTAATAAGTTTGATTGACTTCTTCACAATATACTATATCCTTGCCTAAGATAATTTTTTTTCTTTTTGAGTCACTTTATTTGTGAATGAGTACAATTTTTTCTTGAAATTGGAGGTTTGGCCATTGGGGTGTGTTTTCTGTTGGTCATCAGGTTTAAACCCTAAGAGCTTGCCATTATCTCTGCCAATCCTGGAACTTGTTTTTTATCTGGTATGCTTCTTAGGTTGTTAGGGCTCTGCTGCTTGACTGGGTGGAAGCTGGTAAGAAGGGGTTAATGCACGCAGCCAGCCAGTAGCATAAGGAGAGTTCTTTCTGGAGGCCACAGGAAACCAAGGGCGGCTTTGGACAGGTTACAGGCCTTCAAGTAGGGCAGCCTGGTAAAGGCTGGGTGAGCTCTGCTTTTGAATTTCGCTTTCCAAGGAGACTTTTGTTTAGGCCTGGAGCAGGGAGCCTGCAACAGGCTTGAGACTACTAAAATGTGCCAGAGGAATCAAAAGCCCTGAGTCATAGGGTCAGAATCACAGTATTGCCTGGGAGGTTGTTCCTCTTGTAAACAACATTGAATAGAGGAGAAAGGAAATTCAAGCCTTCCTGAGGAGGACACCTTGACACCCTGAGATCAAATAAATGAGTAGTGAGGCATACATTTCAGGTGAGCTCAAAGGGTCCTGTTTGGTAATCTGGCTGTTGAAAATACAGACCTGTGCCTTAGAATAATTAATTCAAAATCCAGTACATTGACTGGGGTTCTAAAATAATAAGAAACAATGCAAATGAACTCTGGGTCATCATAAGGGTGTCACAGTTTCTCAACCTTCAGGGAAGAAAGTCTGGGTCAGGGCTCTAATTCACTGAATCATGAATTTTTTAGAGTCTACACATGTGACTAACCAAATTCTGGTTAGTAAACAGATTTTTGACAAGCTTGGTATAGCCCATAGGGTCGCTTTCTTTAGAATATGGGTGTTTCGTAAGTCCACTGCTTACCATTTACTTTTTTTTTTTTTTTTTTTGAGACAGGGTCATGCTCTGTTGCCCAGGCTGGAGTACAGTGGCACAATCACTGCTCACTGTAGCCTTGGGGTTAAGTGATCCTCCCATCTCAGCCTCTCAGGTAGCTGGGACCACAAGCATGTGTCACCACGCCCATCTAATTTTTGTATTTTTTGTACAAAAATGTATTTTTTGTAGAGATGGGGTTTCACCTTGTTGCCCAGGCTGGTCTCAAACTCTTGGTCTCAAGAGATCCTCCTGCCTCAGCCTCCCAAAGTGCTGAAATTATAGGCGTGAGCCACCATGCCTAGCCAACATTTACAAAACAACATGTTTACAATTTATCAGGAAGTAATTGTAGGCAGTCCCCAATTCCTAATAGGACTGTGTTCTAAAAGTTCATGATAATTTGGAACTCAGAGTATATTTCCCAAAGAAACAGTTTTGAAATGGTGGTAAAGTCCTCAGTTTAATCCCCTGGTTATATTAACCATTACTGGCCTATCTTCCCCTCCACTCCTCTCCCTACCCCAGCCCAGGGGAGGTGAATTCTCTGTGTGTGTGGGTGGGTGTGTGCGTGTGCGTGCACGTATGTCCCTGTGATGCAAGCTGGGGCTGAGGTGGTAGCCAGGGTGGGGTTAAGCACCTGGGATCTCAGAGGAGCAAATCTACAAGGCCTGAGGCCCCAGGGTTTGTGGGAAGGATGAGATGACTAAGGAAGAATGAGGAAACTGGGGGCTGGGTGAGCTGTGTGGAAGACCGATAAGGAGTGATAAGGGGGAAGGGTGGGGTAGTGGCTGGGAATTAGTAGGGAGTGGGCTTCTTTACCTCCTTTTCTCCTTATTCCAATCCCTTCCTTCTTTCCCTCTCCATTCTCCTTTGCTAACTGCATCATTTGGCTAATTTGAGTTTCTGATGCCTGGCAAAGTGAGTAGAAGAAACCGGAGGAGGAGACTGGATGGGGGCGTAAGGAGTGGCACTGGGAAACCCCAGAGGAGAAAGGACAAACAGCCAAAGCTGAAGATGAAGGAGACTGGAAGGGAAGTTCCCATGGCTGGAGAAACCATAGCTTTAGGTGTTCCACATAGGTCATCATTTAGTCACCGCTCTGGGTTCTCAGAGGCAGTTTTGTTGATAGTGCAACTGGGAGCCACTCTGGATTGTTCTGACATTTTGGGGTTATAATTGAGACATCGTCCTTGAAATGTTTCAGATATAATAAATATAAAACAGCCAGCAGGCAAAGGATCTTTCTATCTTGTTGATACTCAGGTGATGGGTACCCATTTACTCCTATTTTTATTTAAGAAGTTTGATGTTCAGAGAGAAGTTCCTGAAATTTGAGCCTTTGAGCCTTTGTCTGTAACCCTTATTTTAAAGGGTTATGGACAAATCAACAAAATAATCGTGTCCAAATGTTGGATTTTCTCCTTGAAATT